AATAAATAAATAAATGGCATTCAAGTAAGCTGTATAATAAGCATGCAAGTAATAACAAAGTGCTTGTCATAGTCCACTTACTGCTTTGTAGCCAACAATACGGATGGAGAGAGCGCTGCCAATGGTTAGCTGACAGGGCCAGGCCATTGGTCTCCTCTCAATACGCTTGAACATGCAAAGCTGCTCGATCGCATTCCTGCCACAGGTTTAAAGCACATGGGAAACTTGTGAGACCCCGTCCCTACAATAAGTATCTCTAGATGGAGACACAGCCATGTGATTCAGAGACTGAGACATATGCAGGCATGAGAAACATCAGCGTTTGACAAAAGGCCCTCTAACCTGAAGGTGTAAACTTCATCCAGGCCGTCCTCCTCATCCAGACTTAGCATGATGCGTCTCACCATCTCCAGGCCGCTCCTCTGTTCCCTGGACAGACCTTTTCCTGTTCCTGGTCCTGGGTGGCCGGGGCCTCTTCTGTCTGCGTCTCCGTCACCCTCTTCATCCTCCTCCAGAGGGAAAGGCAAGCTAGAATTGAACAGCGAATGGTTAAAAACAAGAAATCAAGAAAAACAAATTGAAAAGGAATAATAACAATGACGTGTTAATGAGTGTTAATTAGATCAAGAAAAATGCGTGCTCAGTTGGGGCTCACAGAAAAAAATGCTACAATAAACAGTATGCGCTGTGCTCTTTTCAAGCTATAAATGAGTCAATTAAATCAACGACATTAAAAAAAACAACAACAATCTCCTACAACCTGATTTACATATTCTATCACATAAAGCAATAAACACATTAACTTTGAAATTGCACAGTATGAGTCTGTTTGAACCTTACAAGAACTGCAGGGTGATGCCAGCTTGTTTCAGGTTTTCAATGATAACATCCAGGTTGTCTGAACTGGCCTGGGTGGTGAGGTCAGTCAGGAGGACGATGTTGAGACGATCGCACTTCTTCCCCCTTAAAAGGTACCACAGAAAAACCACTTCAGTGTAGTAAACACTGGAACACTCAGTTTTTGCTTTTTGTTTTTAGCGAACAGCACAAATGACTTCTGAAATACAAACGGCAGCTTCTTACTTGGTTTCTCTCTGAAGAAGATCCATGGAGACAACAAGGGCATCCAACCCTGATTAACACGAGTTAAGGAGCTTGTATATTCTCTGACAAAGTTTGGGAGCATCAGGTTGTGCACAAAGAACATCTTGCAAATACCAATGAAGTGTTGGTCTTTCCCTTAGAGCTAGAGTACTGCTCATGACGACAACATGTGAACACAGAGGAGGAGCCGACTTAAGAAAATCACTAAACTAAAATCTTAAAAGCACTTAGTTTAAGAGTCATTTTTCAATCAAATATTGGCCGACCCAAAAAGTAATTAATTCCAGTTCTGCTGATAATTTTCAAAAGGTAAAAATGTATTTTATTGTTCACACATTTGCAAATATAATGACTAACTACAGCTGGACTCTTTCATATGAATGAATATCTGAAGCTAAAGGCTCACATTTCCATTAACAAGCTTCCAAATGCAGGTAAAGGCACACAGACTTCATAACCCTCGCTCTATTCAACTATTTTTTAAAGTTCAGGTGAAGGTAATACGAAGCGTCTGCAGACTGAGTTCATCAAACCAAGGGAATAACTCTCAAACTTTCAGTCCTCTCGGTATAAAATTCCCTCTTTGTACTGACAGTGTTTCCTTGCTGAGCTGCAGTCGAGACACAGCAGCACAAAGAGGGGATTTTGTGCTAAATCATAGCGAGTAACTACTTGAAGCTCTTAGATTCAGACATCAAACTGCTCAAGCCTCACATGAACTTTTGAATAAATTTTTTAACTGATTGATGGCGGTGTTTTTTGGCCCCTACTGCAAGCACATTAGGCAGGGATGTACTAAAAGGAGGAATGTTTCAGCAAGTAAAAACTCTCTAAAGTGTTCAAATAGGCATTTAGAAAACTGTGAATCTGCCCCTTAATACCACACTTAGTCCTGATACAAAGTCTTGTAACTGAAAATGTTAATGGATAATTAATTATTTGACCTGAAGGTCTGTTTTGGCCGACAACAAAACAAAGTGTTATCGAGGCTTAAAAGGTGACCAAGTTTGGAGTGTCCTGTCTGAAGAAGTCACAAAATTAGTGGCTTCTTTTAAACCGCTTCTGAAAACCATTTTTTCCACAATATCTGATTTCATCTTTTTATTGCTGAATAAAGTGTTTGTCTTCTGGTTTAAACTTTCTTCATTTCACCTTAACTTTGCTAGCTTTGTTTGGCATCACTGGCTCCCTGTTGCTACTTTTCCTTCTGGGTATGCAGCTTTTTTAATCCTTGTTTTTAGAAATGCAATTTTAATAAAGTTATCATTATTATATTATTATTATCATCACACAGATTAAATCAAACATATAAAAACACAAATAAACCAGGAATGGGATGTAACAATTGTTACCCAAGAATGGAAAAAAGCCCTACTACCTTAAACAGGTACATCCCTGCAAAAAATTAACTTTAGCCACTGCACCATTACTACGAATAGTAATAATAATGTTTTTTTTTTCTAGCACATTTCAAAACTGAGGTGCTTTACAAAACATTAAAAAGCAACAGTTAAATATTAAGAGATGTCAATAAAACACTAGTAAAGACAGTAAAACATTCAAAAGGGTAAAGATAACACTTAAAAAATAAAATATTCTACAAATGGCTGTCTGTAGAGTGGCCTTTTAAAAGTTTTTTTGAAATAAGCCACTGATTGTAAACTGGGGGCTTGTTCCACAACATCAGGGCTAAAACAGTAAAATCATGTCCCAGTTTGTTTTAAGCCAAAACTGTGGGACTTTTAAAACCACATGATTATCTGATCTGAGGGGTCCTGGTATAGAAATAAAGGGTATAAAGTCCTGAAATGTTGAGCGGCACCAGATCACAAAGAGGTTTGAAAGTAATAAACAGAATCCTAAATTGAACTCAGTAACAAATGGGTATAAAAAGCATTAAGCAGAAAGGATACAATCAGCCTGCTGGTTCTCTGGATGGATCTGATTTTCAATCTCCACCAGCAGCTCAAAGTCAGGTATCATGAGGTGACGATGCACTGTGATGTTCTGGTACTGGTCGTCCTGGTCCAGGGGGTTTTTGGTGGCGTCTGTACCAAACAGAACTAAAGCCAGTTCATCCTTAGACTCTGCAAAAACCTGACAGAAGACAAACAACAGGTCCAGTGTGTTAACCATGATAAGGACCTCTCTTTTATGCCTGAAGTTTTAGTTTGTGTCTTGTTTTGTAGACGTGTACCTGGCGCTGGACAAACTTCTGGATGACTTTTTTGGCAAGTTCAAAGGGAGGCTCTTCACCAGGGGCAGAGTTGGACATGGAGAAGCCCACATCCATGCACAGGACCAGAGCTGACTGTAGAGGACAGGCATGCCAGGGCTCACAAACACGAAAGAAGGCGTCCTACGTTTCTCAATCGCCCTTTTTTCATGCTATCTGTTCTTAAGCTCTTAAAAGTAGCATGAAAGGATATTTGTATACACTGAATAGGGGGCGTGACAGCCTTTTGCCTCCCTGCCCTACATGCCCCGACATGTCGCCTGCGCTGACGTTAAGTTCAACAAAAAATAATTATTTGTTTCAAACATTTGAAAACCGCCAAATTAAAACAAAAACCACCGTCTAACAAACTATGCATATGGAAAACTGCTTTATTTAGGAAATTTAACAGAAAACAACTTACTTTAGCGCCTGCCATTTTCTTTCTTCCCTCTTCCAAAGGCTGTGTGCCACTTTGTTACACCTCCGGAAAGAAACGCCGGAACCGAAACGACAGGTTCCTGTTTACGGTGAGAATTGTTCCGCGGTTATTTCTAAACAGCTTAACGAGACATATTATTGATTGTTTCTCACTGTAAATTATGGTATATATGTTTAAAGAAATATACCGAGTCTGTATCGAGCTGTCGGAAATGTATTCGCGGTCTTTAAAGTCTGACTAGTGAGAGCAATGAAATGCAAAAATCAGATGTAGGTCAAACGCCCTCCAGCGTTTCATACGACTCTGTGCACAGACTGAGATATTATAAGGTCTGAGCTTCCTCTGTGTTGTACCCGCTGAGATTTCAGAAAATAAAAGTACTGACAGATAAATGAATAACAACAACCACCCGTGAATGAATATAAAAATGATAAACAAATACAATAAAAATCCACAAAGAGAGTAGGCCCGATAAAAAGTGCACATTAGGCTACTCAAAGTCAACCTTCTCATCCTCAAATTTAAAATATTTACTTCATTAGATATTTTATAGTCTATTAGTATCAATTACAAGTTCCATTTCCTGTTATTGGGCACATGGCAAAACAGATTCTGACACCAGCTGGTTTCTTTTTGGATCAAGTCAAGTCTGTTGTCAAGACTCTCAGTACCAGGGTTTTCTAAGTTTTGCGCGGCACACCACAAAACTTCTGCAACTATGATTTAAAAAAACTTCAAAAAATAACAGTTTATCTTAACGTTAAAGGACACAGAGATCATTTCACATGCTTTTATCCCATCGTGCCCTTTTCCCTTCCTGAACCAAAGATCTATTGATCAGCACTAGACTGTACAGAACTGAGGCGTCGGGCTTTTAAATTAGAACCAAGAGATGCAATCCCATCACTCCTGTTTTTAAGTTTAAATATGTTTTTAAGGCCCTTTGTGGCCTCTTTCCTAGCTACATCTCTGACCTTTCAGTACCTTATGCACCAGTGTACACTTTAAGATCCCCAGGCAGAAGTCTTTTGTCTGTTCCAGCTCAAAACTAAATGGGTCAGAGCATTTGCAGTCATGGTCCGGAGGCTCTAAAATGAGCTGCCTGAGGAAATCCAGTCAACTGAGTTAGTGAACTCTTTCAAGTCCCTTTTCTGAGAGCCTTTCCTGATTTTATATGAGTTTTAATTTCATTCTTTTCTTTAAAAACATAATAATAAATCCCTTTTTCCAACATTGTTGACTTTTCTGTTGTATTTTGTTGCCTTGTGAAGCACTTTTGCATCTTAGATTTTGAAAAGTGATCTGTAAATCATGACTGTGAATAAAGATTATTTAATTTTCCTACACGAAGCTTTAAATGTTAAACCTTCTCTACAATGGACAATAATACAATAAACTAATAAACTTTGCATATTTTCAGAAAAAGGATGTCGTCCGTCACCTTACTATCTTTTGTCACACAGTAATTGTGGTCATTTGTGACTCATTTGTGTGGTTTTGATCCATATGCTGTACACTGCCCTCTGTGTTTCAACATTTAACGGTCTGATTTAACAAAATTAGGCAGTAAAACAGGACAAAACAGAGCAAGTTGGTAAATACGGTATGTGTTGGACCGACTGTGCTTTCCGCTAACACACTGTATTTGGCCCTGCTGGCGTTGCATTACAGAATATGGATTTTCTTAATTAGGCTTCCCAGTTTAACACCAGGGTGCCAATAATCTGATCTCCAAGCACCCACACCCCAGAGAGCCATCTGCATCGGTGTGCATCATGCTGGGCTACACGCTGGCTTGTTTTTGTCTGAGAATATGGAACCACAGAAAATAGTCGCCTGCCATACATTACCCTATAACGCCAGCAAACAGGATACCATTATAAGATATCTCTTCCACGGTATAGATTTATTGAAAATGTAACAATCCCACACTTTATTTCATTTTTCTGTATAATTCTTTACTTTGCATTCTGTAGATTCAAAACATGTAATGTGGAAAACAGATTCAATCCACAACAACTGATCGGTGTCTTTTCCTGCATGAAAATACAACTGAATTACTTCACCCGGCCAGGTGTATCCGTAAATATTTAAATCATCCGATCTTTTCAAACCAAACCCATCTGCGAACAATTTCAGTGTGTTTGCGACACATTTATTCCAAAGTGCTTCAGTATAAAACACCTACTGTAGCTACAACAACTTCTGAGAGTGTACTAGCATTAAATATATAAAATAAATCAAAGTAGCATATAAAACATGAATGTGTGGAAACGTGAAAAGAATCATCAACTAGAAAATTACCGAAAACTTCATTTTATGTGTGTGTTTGTGGACCAAGACTGCGAAGACAACACAAGTAGTTTAAGATCACAAACAGCTGTTTGGATGCTTTCAACATGAGAATTAAAAGAAAGATGATTAGTCAGCTTGTCCTCACTATGGCTTTGTCATGGCTGAATTAACGCCCTGGAGGAGCCTGTAGCAAAGAAGAGCAAAGGGCCTACCTCCCTCACTCCCAGTCTTAGTGCATTGCTTAGACGCTCCATCGCGTACAGGGCTCACTACAGATGGAAGCATAAACGCAATTAGCTGACGTTCCCAGAAACCAACAAGCACTCACATGCTTGAATACATCCTGCCCCAGAGTTTAATGTGTTTCAGGTCATTTTTTTGAAACACAGACATCATCCAGAATAACACAGGTATTATAACTGATCTGTACTAACGCCTGGTCATGTTCTACATGTCTGCTTATTTTCAACAAACCCCATAAAAAGACAAACATCCATTATGAATGAAAACCTTCTAGCAAGTTCTATCTGCAGCCAAAGCCTGAACTCCAACTTTCTTGATCCTCCTAGTTTAGGTCATGGATTTGCTTGGTATAAAAAAAACAAAACATAAGTAAAAGCTTTTATTGAGTTTACCAGACCTTGCAAAATTCTAAACTTTCTAATTCAAAATGTTAGGTACAAACATTTGGCCCTCTGAGCTAAATTTCAACATTTTTCTAATTACTTTCTAAGTCTCACTGATTTTTCCCCCACTGGATTGTGCTGAACATCCATGAAACCTTAAGGGTCATTTGCAACTAAACATTTGTTGCTGAATGTTTTTACAATATTTAAATAATAAGAATAGATCATTTTCCACCCCACTGATAAATCACAATTCTTCAAAAAGAAATATCTCCATTATTTTTTTTACTAATATATTTAGATTCTATGTCGTATGACTACAGTTCTGTCATATCTGGGAGCTGTTTGGCACTGCATAAAAAACGGACTTCAAAAGCCTAAAAAATGTATAATTAAAAAAAGGTTTAGAGTAAATCTTTAGGATTTTGCAAGATCCTACAAACCTAATAGAAGTTTTTACATTATTTAAAAAATAAAAAAATAAAAATCCATGACATATACTGGAAGGTTTCGGTTATACATGAAATGATCAATGGTTCACTATGGGTCAGTCTCATGCACATCGTCCTGGTGCTGGAAATACTCACATCAAACACGTTCCCAGCTAATGCACCATTTATTTCCATTTCAGCTTGTTACGTTTGCTAAAAGCTGAAGTAGCCAGCTGTTTGAGGAAAGCAATGTGGCCCAATTTGATAGATCTAAGTCTCCAGTAACAAAAGTTGTTGGTGGGATTGTGTGTAACAGACAGAGGAGGGAATATTGTTGATTTTGGTCTTTTCATGGGGTTTGTCGCCAATATGAAAAATCTAAGGTAACGCCAGGCTTATAGTTTCAAAACTGACACACAGTCGCTTCACTGGACAGATTCTTGTTTTAGTGGAAGCTGTCGTCGTGGTGCATATTCCCACTGAAACAAGCAATAAAAGTAACAGACACACAGTTAACCTGCATCAGTGGCCCCGTTGCCCACTTCTCACAGTTAATAATCCAGTCTTCCTCCTCGTGTTTATGGAGACTTCACAGACAAGACAGTGTTGCCTTCAGAGTTAAAGCTCCTCTCGATGTCATTGCACGGCACAGTGATCACAAATACGCAGGTACAGATATTTACAGATGAGGTGAAACTTAATTCAAACTTTCAGGCTTCCGTTAGTACGTGTATTAGTGTCCACAGCCTCTGAGTGGAAGTGCTGTTCAGGAATTGTTTGGTGGCTATTTAGTGATCTGAGGGAAGCTGTAATGAACCTGGAAGTAAAAAAACTAATCCAGAGTTTTTAGTAACGTTTCAGCACCTACAGTAAGGAAGGTTCAGGCAGTGTTTAATAAGTTATCATTTACAGGAAAGCATAGTGAAGTAGCTTTTAAATACGTTTGCACAAAAATCTTATCAAACGGCTCTGGATGTTTGTTGTAGTTTTCAGCAAAATATCAGAGCCTTTCGTCAGCAGATAATTTATTTAAATCAAGTAAATGGATCTTGAATTTTCTGTCAAATTAGTATTTCCAAGGTCAGAAACTAAGCTTTATGCTGAACTTTCTATGAGTGACTTGAATTTTCTGGTTTTTGTACGTCCTCTATGACCAAATTTATACTGAAAGCACCTCTAACTTTCCTTCACGCCAACCTCTTGACCTCAGTGTCCCTCTTTCACACTGATGATGTCTGGGCAAGTTCACTGGGCGCCTTGCTCTGCAGAGTGCCAGAAACAGTGTCAGAGTCAAGCAGCTCCACTATGCTGTACGGTGAACAGTCCTCAAGTCCCAGTTTCCCGCAGGCCCAGCCACAGAAGCCTTTCTCCAGGTCTCGCACCGACAGCCACCACTCACTGAAGGCCCAGGACACCTGCACCACGGCGGAGTACAGAGCCAGCGACAGCGCCATGGGCATGATGAGCATGGGGTAGAAGATGATGAGGAAGGGGCAAATTGTGATCTTGTGCCAGAACGTCCGCTCCTCATTGTACACCAGGAAGACGTTGTACCAGGTGAGCGTGCCGTAGTAGAAGGAGGTGATGAAGGAGAGGAGGAAGATCACAGGCGCGCACGAGAGGCTCCACAGGACAACATGAGGTCCCTGGCACACACCCAAGCTGCAGCTGCGTTTGCCACCTTCGCCCGCCTCGCATTCCGCATCTAGACGCTCCTTCGACTTGGCAAGTTCCCTGAGTTCCCTCTCCGTCAGAGTGACGTGTATGTCCACCACCTGACCCTTCTTCTTCCCTCGGGTGATGGTGCCAGTCAGGGTCACATAGCGGCTGTCTGGAGGAAGGTTCCAGCCTCCGCCTGGTCAGAGATAACATGACATGACAAACAAAAATAAGCTCTTTCTCCTCGCCTAGAAAAGTTACATCTATTAAACCTTAATGTAGAAAATCTACTTAACACAGGTTTAAATGCTTAAAAGTAATCCAAGTGATGCTGTTTTATTATCCGCACTGTGCTTCAAAGTAGTAAACACAACATGATATCTGGTGAGTGGGCAGCTTGAGAAAACATCTAAACAGAGAGAGACACCTACACAATGAACTGAAGCTCCCAAAAGGCTCAGTTTGACTTTGCATCTTCTCAAAGTAATAATCAAGATGTGAACAAGAAGATCTACAAATTAGATTTCACCACATTGAACACAGGAGTGAAACAGCAACATAAACATGCACACAAAATGCAGAGATTTCAATTCCCTGAGAGAAGGACAGTGATTAATTCGCAGTGAAAGCAACAGAATGCATGAATGCTATATGCTGAATGCATGATTGAGTGATTAAAATGAGACACCCTGTTCTTCGTCATGATTGTAACACAATGTGACACCTTTCTCACCTTCGCCTGTGGGTGTGCAGAGGAATTTAGCTCCTTCCTCGGTGCTCCTCTCTGCTGCCTCCTCACCGTCTTGGTCCTCTCCGGGTGCCCTGTCCATCTCAGAGCGGTACACAATGATGGACTCTGGACGTGGGTCTCTCTTCTTCCTCCTCTTCCTCCTTATAGAGGGTCCCCCTTCTCCGTCTTCCGTGTGGTTCCCCGATATGTCCGATCTCAAGGAGATCATCTGGGGGCTTCCTTCTCCTTCGGTTTGAGGCTCCTCCACCTGTGCCATCCTCTCATTCAACCAACTCTGACTCTGAGGCTGCTTTTCCTTTTTTTTAATGTATGGGTGAAATATGGAGGTTAATAGTGAAATTCTAACCAACACAAACTGTGCCCACCCATTGCGTTCAATCAGAGTGGGAAGGCTGGAGAAGTAATAAAAGTGCATACACACAAACACACAGAGAGAGAGAGAACAGAGAGAGTTTTATGAGCAAAAGCAGGTTTGTGTTGTTTTTTTTTAAGTCACTGTTTAATCCTCACACTGATCCTGGCCCCAATTCTGCACAGAAAAACAAATAAATAAATAAAAACACAACCAAATGGCTCATTAAAACGGGCCTAACTGACATCTGAATGAACAGGGAGCACATCAAACTGATCCATCACAAAGAAAGCATGGCAGATTTGTCCACAGAGGGGACGTGAGGAGGGGGGCTGTTTGCATGACAGCGCAGCAATGATCTCAGTGCTGCCAGCTCAGAATAACAACACCATCCCATCCCCCTGTTAAAAGCACTGACAGCAAACACACACACACACACACACACAATAATAATCATAAAAAAATAATAATCACAGGCGGATTGTAGAGAATGCACAATTCCACGACAAGGCTTGAGATCGACAATGCAAGCCTTCATACAGCTGATCCCCTCCCATTTAAATCCCACCCATGTCCGCTCTTTGTCTGCAGCCGGCGAATGTGTGCAGCAAGTAGAATATTTCCACATGAATCCAGTCTTACCTTCAGGAGGCCGGCGAGCACCGTGCGGACAAAGCTGTGTGACAATAAATCCTTTGTATTTGCCTGATAACATTGCAGGGAGGGGGGCTCACACATCCCGGCGCTGTGTTTTGTGCCGATACAGATGCGCTACGCAAAATGATTTCCAGAATAGCGCTGATCCCGCCCCTCCAACCTCTGTCACGGCAAACCCACCATCCAGGAGCCCCGCTGCTGTCATGTGAACAGGATGGAAATAACGGCCGAGGGATAAACGAAAAAAAAAAAAAGAAAAACCATACAATAAAATGTATTTTTAGATTTTATAAAGCAACTGTCTATACTAAACGGCGTAGTGCTATTTCTCAAGCTATGTACGTCGCCAGCGTGATATATTAATATATTAAAGTGTAATTAAAAGAATAACAGCATGTTTTCCTTTTTTTTTTGGCATATGCTTTAATATATTAAATGTCTGCAAAAGTGGCCACCAGCTATTACCTGAGATAAAATAAATTCTTTATCTTACTTTTTTTTTTTTTTTAAATAGTGGAGCTCACTTTAAAACTGACCTTAGCAACTTTTGTTGATTAGCATCGTGTTAGCATTCCTCTCGTTACAAATAGCTAACTAAGCTAACACAGGTGCTAGCACAACCTGAAAAAAAAATCTTAACCGTTTTTACATCGTTGGTTTCTTAATAATAGTAGATTACAACCTGAACACCCTGTTTCTCCGTTCTTTACTAAATAATGCCAAATTTTCTGCCGAAAATTGCAATGTGTTACAGCTTCCGGAAGCCTTCCGTTAACTAACCGTTGACAGCAGCTCGTGAGAAAGCAAACAGCTAATGTGGCTAACATTAGCCTGGAGTAAAAATGAACGACCAGTGTTCACTTAATAATATCGACAGCCTCATCTTTCAGTTTGGTGAGTTCACCTTTGTAGTTTATTGGATGTTGTTAGTAGTTTTGTCAGTCATTTAATGTCTTGTTGTAGCGCTAGCGAGTTAGCTACAAACTAAATGTCAGTAAAGAGCTAGCTAGTTAGCTGTAAATTCACAAGATGATAACACTTTATATGCCTTTTTTTTTAAAAGTTAAAATATATTTTTTTATTGTATTTATAGCTCTTCAAACTCGTGAGCTTTCTGAAAAGAAGAATGAAATCAACCAAAAAATTGAAGGTACGTCTTGTTAAAGGTTTAAAAGTTAACCTAAGTAAAGGTTTGTGCGTGCTACACTGGTTTTAAGGACAGACTCGGCTAAAGACAAGTTTCTGACTTTTAGTGTCATATTTTTACCTCAAGGAAACATGTATGCCAAAGTATATTATTTTACATGTTTGCCTTTTTTTAAAAGTCTTGTTTACCTAATTTTCTTTCAGTTTAGCTCTACTTTAATGCTTGCATCTTCTGTTTATTTGTGTTGTTTATAATTTGAAGGAGACCTCAGTGTAGCTTTAGTTTAAATGAAGGTTGGGAAAAAAATACAGAACAGTTATAACAACATTTTAAAAAAGCACAGGAACACTGCTCTTCCTCTATCATCTTAGGCCTCATCATGTCAGATCAGCTAAGCAAGTAACCCATTCTGTCACTTACATACAGCCCATTTACTTCAGCACTGATCAGAACCTCCTGATTTAGTCCTCAGATGATGGGTCAGTTTTTCACAACAGCCGCTGCCCTGACCTTAAGGGGTCACATTTTGACCAGTTCCTTCAGATGATCCTTTTACGTGCAAGCATTAGGGTTTTAAACAAAACTTTTCAAAATACGTTATCAGCTTTTAATCCCAGATCAACCACCTTGGGCTCCCTGGGAGTCCTATACTCCTCATTTCTGTTATTTGATGTCACAGCATGGTGTATTGTTTTATATGGAGCTCCTCTTGTGTTGTCTAATATGTCTGTCAACAGTCTGCAGGGTGGACATTGCTGAGAGGAAGTCTTACATTGAGACAGCCAACAGAAATATTGTTAAACTTGAAGAGGAAATCAGTGCAAAGCAGGGCGCTGTAATGCATTATAAAGACAATACAACACGGTATGGTGTTGCAAAAAGAAAATGATGGCTAGATAGTGCATATGACAAACTGTGATACGTCAAGGTGATAACAACATGATCAGACTTTAAGTGTAACTTAATATACACAGTGTGGTGTTGTGTAGTAATTATGTATCTTTGCTTATCTATTAGCATGAAGACGACCAACAACCTGCTTCTTCGGTATGAGCAGACACTGAAAGCAGAACTGGAAAGTAGAAAAGCGAGCTACAACCATGACCTGTGGGTTCAATTAGCAGTGGTGTTTATGTTCAGTACATTTGTGTTTTGTAAGAAACAACACTGAATTGTTCTTTATTTGTATCTCAAAAAGGGAAGTCTATGAGGAGAGAATTGCAAGCTACAAAAAGACATTTCAGTCGCATAAAGAATATTATCTACAGAACCCTCTGGCTCAGTCGCTCCTCGTGCTGCAGGCTGAAAAAGAGGAGATTGAGTGTAGGATCAAGGCATGTGATGATCAAATAATGATAAAACAGAAGGAGCTGGATCATCTCACCGGTAATACATGTTTTATGTCATCGCACTTGCGCTGGTAGAGCTGAAATATTTACAGCTCTTTATACAGTTGATTTAATTTCTGTCCAACCAGGTCCAGAAGTCAGTTCTTTCTCCACTGAGGAACAACCACACAGGTGCCTTTCAGTGAATCTTACAAGTGATGAAGAATAATCACACATAGCCCCGAGCAAAGCGTAGTTTTTCACTGAGACCATTTTTCTTGTAGTGTTTTTGACCAGCAGCCCACAACAGAACAAGAGAAACAATCAGATCATCAGACAACAGAAGATGGGGATTCTTCCATTGACATCTCCTCTCTTCATCTCAGCCACACAAAGGTTCTCAGATGCATCAGTCTGGCATTTTACTACTGCTGAAGTTCTACCAGTCATGAAATGTATACGTTAATGCCGGTCCTGTTACAACTCACCACTTAGATAAACGTGAACATATCTTGCAGAATGGTCTGGAAACTTCTGTGGAGGCAATTGCTGAAGAGATTCATGAGGAGAACACGGTACAGGATTCATCCAACGATTGCGCTTCCCCAGAGAAAGCAGGTGAGGAGCTGTGGTCCTCTCAACAGTCGGATGGTAAGTACAGGAAACTGATGTGTATTTAGTTCACCTCCTTTCTTACCATCAAACCCAATGAGCAGAATATTTATTTCTTCAGAGCAAAGTCAGCCGGATGAAATGCCCACCGAGGAGCTGGACCAGGAACCTTCAGAAGAGGACCAGGTTTTGGTATTTTTGCTTTACGATACGTAGACTGTCCTTAAAAAAGCCAGTTTCCCCGATTTTTAATAGGAGTAAGGGACTTGCTGCTGTAGGCATTTAATGTGTTATGTATCCCAACTACTAGGCTATCAGGTCTTCCCACAATTTGCCAAACTCACTAAACTGCAATGTACCTTAGTGCAACTTGCTAGAAATGGTTTTGGGGTCTCCATCATAGAGATTCTGTCCTACATAAACAACATGTCAGTTACTTATAAGGACATTCCACTGATTTTACACGTGTTAAGTGATCAGAGGGATTGCGATTCACTGCTCTGTTACAAAGCTTTACCCAATAAGTGTGATTAGTTATTTAGAATAGATGATCATCTCAAC